AACACAAGACACTACAGTGACTGTGACATGATAAGCTATGCAGTTGGAAGACAGTGCACATTACAGAATGGTCTTGGTCTCAAGAAAGAGGAGGCATTGACTATAACTAGTACTAGAGCTGCAGCACAAGCTCCACAAGAAAAAGCTCAGCATCAAACCTTAATGCAGAAGGCTCACCAGGCTGAAGAAAACCATCCACCATTCCACCAAATACATACAGATAACGCCCTGATCTGTCTGCACAAGCACGGTGGAATGATCTTGCTTTTGCCTCAAAACCACTTGATTTCCACCTTTTCCACATTCTTCTTGTCATTGACTCTTTCTTGGAGCTCACTGTGGTTGGATGCTGCAGAGTGATGTTAGGGTAAGGAATTGCACTGATATCCAACACCCAAAAATCATCTTTTCTGTGTCTATATGAATCTTCTCCTCCATAAATTAGCAACCTTCCCCCCAAAACAAATGTTGCTGTGTGACCAACTCTAGGGAGAGAAACACCATCTGTTATGCTTTGCAAATCATAAACTATCTGAACCCATTTGAAATAACCTTGATATGTATCCAATAACCAAACATCATCAAGCACCTCATAACCCAAGCCTCTGCCTCCAAATAGTATTGTTCTGCTTATGCCAATGCATGTCAAGGTGTGTCCTGAGCGTGGTGGAGGTGAAGGGTATGACACAATCTCATGCCAAGTGCCATGGCAGGGACTATCTGACAGCTCCAACACCCATGTGTCCCCCAAACGGAGGCCATTAAGCCCAATGCCCCCATGGATTACCATTCTCTTTTCATCAATGGAACATGCACCATGTGCTCCTCTTGGAGGTGGTGCAACATTTCCCACTTCAAGCATTTTCCATGAAAATCCTATGCCTTTGTTTTCATTCAACACAACTTGCCCCAACCATGTGTCGTTTTGACGGTTGCCACGGTCATTGATTCCTCCAAAGAGTACAAGAAAGTCACCCATTTCCACACATGTGTGCCCAAATCTCCCACTTGGAATGCCTGCATGAACTGTTTGCCATTTCAACTTTCTCCTGAAATCATTGCCAATGTATGCCACCCTCGTGTCATCAAGATGTCGTCCTAAACAACAACAATAATTATAATCATGATGATAACATCATAAGTTTACTATGTTTCTAAAAACATCATTTTTCTTACATAAATGAAAAAGAAAAATATAGATATATATATATATAATTTATATATATATATATATATATACGAATTTTCTGTATTGATGGCTTATAGAATTTGCCCATATTATTTCTCCTCCAAAAACTGAAAATATAGTAAAAATACTTTTTTTAAATTGACAATGAACAAATGCAAACATTTTGGTAATCTTCACAATCATACCATTCATTGCTTTGTAATTATGCAGTGACAGTTCCTAAAAGATATTGACACTAGGTGACCCAATACATGATGCAACTGCTATATCCTTTACAAGAGCCCAACACAAGACACTACAGTGACTGTGAACATGATAAGCTATGCAGTTGGAAGACAGTGCACATTACAGAATGGTCTTGGTCTCAAGAAAGAGGAGGCATTGACTATAACTAGTACTAGAGCTGCAGCACAAGCTCCACAAGAAAAAGCTCAGCATCAAACCTTAATGCAGAAGGCTCACCAGGCTGAAGAAAACCATCCACCATTCCACCAAATACATACAGATAACGCCCTGATCTGTCTGCACAAGCACGGTGGAATGATCTTGCTTTTGCCTCAAAACCACTTGATTTCCACCTTTTCCACATTCTTCTTGTCATTGACTCTTTCTTGGAGCTCACTGTGGTTGGATGCTGCAGAGTGATGTTAGGGTAAGGAATTGCACTGATATCCAACACCAAAAATCATCTTTTCTGTGTCTATATGAATCTTCTCCTCATAAATTAGCAACCTTCCCCCCAAAACAATGTTGCTGTGTGACCAACTCTAGGGAGAGAAACACCATCTGTTATGCTTTGCAAATCATAAACTATCTGAACCCATTTGAAATAACCTTGATATGTATCCAATACCAAACATCATCAAGCACCTCATAACCCAAGCCTCTGCCTCCAAATAGTATTGTTGCTTT